TTTTTATGTACAAAAAGTGCAATATGAATAAACTTGAATTTTATTTGTTTTTATTCAGCCTATTTGCCTTCACAAGGGAGTGCACTTTAGTGTCTTACATCCCCAAGAAAGGCAAAAGTGTGCGATTGATGAGCACAAAGCACCATGATCCGGAGTTGGTGGAGGGATCGAAACCAAAACCAAGGATGATCCATGATTACAACAAATGCAAGGGAGCGGTGCATCACCTGGACCAGGTACACAAAAGTACTGTCTTTTTCAAAGCTGTTTTTTTTGGTTTTTGCAGGCATGTGCCACTTATTCATGCCGGCGGCGGGCGCACAGATGGCCCATTTACCTTTTCCAGCACATGATAGACATATCAGCATTCAATGCTTTTGTGCTGTACACACAAATACAGCCAGACTGGAGCCGCCAGAATTTGTATGCCTGTCTACTCTCAAAATAGCAGTGGTTCTTAACCTGTATTCGATTGAACCCGGTTAATTCGCGTTTGTTTGCGTCCCCCGGGGTTCAGTGAGCCAGTCTCAGCGGTTCGATGGAGTTTCTGCCATGGAGGGTAAGACACACGCGACTCAACATGTGAATTCGTCATGACACGCCTCCTTGGCCATCATTGGCGGTTAAGATTATCACATGACATTGCTTGTCAAATCAGTGCTGTGGGAAATTTAGTTCGCTCACGCCCTACGTCGGGTGTGAGCGTCACATTTGTTCACGCAAATGATCAGCCTCCACTCGCGAAGATGAGTGAAAAACAGACATCCTTGGACAGCTTTTTTACGGGGAAAAGGGCATCTGACGAGCCACAAGATGAGCCCACAACCTCGAAGAAAACAAAATCTGCTTTTAACAGACAATACCAAGAATCCCACCTAAGATATGGGTTTGTCGCAGCAGGTGACTCTCTGGCGCCAAGTCCGCTCTGCATTATATGTGGCCAAAAGCTAGCGAATGAGGCAATGAAGCCTTCAAAGTTGCTCCGGCAGAGACTAAGCACCCTGGATTAAAAGATAAACCTTTGGATTTTTTTGAAAGAAAAAGGAGCGAGCACGAAGGACAGAAACAATTACTGAGGGCCACCACATCAACAAATGCGAACGTACAGAAAGCATCATACCTCGTGGCGAACCACATTGCTAAATCCAAGAAACCTTTCACGATTGGAGAAGAGCTTATTTTGCCTGCGACTGTAGCCACCCTAGGTGCAGCTACTCAGTGTCACCCTTTTAATAAGTTGTCAAATGAAAGTGTGTCAAGTTAGCAAATCTATTCGAGTTAGGGTGCACTTACTTAAGGTCACAGTGAGATTGGCAACAGCAGACTCTAAAAATAATCTTTATAAACAAAACAACGCAGGACCGACACAGTACAACTCAGGACGCTAGTAACAAAGAAGCAGTTATGAGAAGCGCCAATGCCGGCGAGGTTTTTTTCAGATTCAGATTCAGGAAACTTTATTTATCCCCATGGGGTAATTGGACTTAACAGGCACGCTCTGCACAAGAAACATGAACAACAATGATGAACATGGGATACAGTGCGAAGGGCCTGTCGGTACTCGCTATATGTGCAGTGCCCCGAGATCTTAGTTGAGAAAGTAAACACGAGGGAAGGAGAGGGTGCGGCACACTGGCTGGACGATGTCCGAGGATGTCATGAAGTCGACCGTAAAGCTTGCATGTTTTTCTCCCTCTACCAGACCTTTTGTTGTTATCGGTAACATTTTTGTAACCTTGTCTGAGGCTTTTGATTTTCTAGTGGCACTGATCGCCAGTGCGGTGAAAACATTCGGATCTTATCTTCTCACCTATTTTTTGAAAAAACACTTTATTTCTCTTGGATCCTTCTAATTGGGCTTGGATGGTCCCGTCAGCCCAAACAGTTATCAGGGCTGACATTTCATCGTCGCCCCAGTTCACTCCCCTGTGTTCGTTCTTATCGCACATCATGTCGTTGTTGTTACTCGCCATTTTGAAGCGCAGAATACCCAGGATGCAAGTTTGCAATACCCGTATGTACTCTTCTCATGCGCAGCGAGTCTACCCCTGTCGCGTTCATATGTCCTATTTTATATCGGTGCTGCCCTGCAAACGAGCATTTACTCCGGAATAAATTTTTAAACCACCTCCTGAGCAGGGTTACATTTTCTTCGGTTTAAGCTGTTTTCAGGGGTGACACCGGTCTAACTTTGTACATGTGAACGCTCTTCGGGGGGGAGCCCCGGTGCTACACCAGAGTAAAAGTTGCCGTGTGAACACCCCTAAAGAGACTTGTGTTAGTGGCGTCGAAGGTGCGCTCTGACGGCATAGCCGCCGTTAGCTTCCAGCTATTTCCTGGACAGCTATCTCTGCTCAGCTAATGTGTTTATGATCGGACAATTAATCGGTATTGATGAGGAGGCGGCGATGTGCTGCTTTTTTCGGACAAGCTCAGTCTCCCTCGATACCTCTCTCTCTCTCTCTCACAACAGCGTGACAAGACACTGATCAGAGTCAACAGCTGACGAGACATCGATAAAAGAGTCAACAGGAAAGTGCTGCGTGGGGCTGCAAAGAGGAGCAGCCAATCAGCTCACGGGATAAATCAACTCGTGATGTCACTGGTCAGCATCGCGCCGGTAACCAATCATGCGCACAGTCATGTACAAACCCTCTGAGTTATTCTGCATTTTTTTTTTTCTGAATACAGTACTGGGGGGGGGGGGCCGATGTAGTGAAGCCGCAAGAAATGAAGCGCAATATAGCGAGGGATCACTGTAGTCTTTTTTCAGTCTTCTGGTTTATAGACCATCTGTAGTGCCATTTTGTGAATGCTGTCGTCAGGGTTCAATATTTGTTCATCATCAAACGAATAGAAAAGCATGGAAAATTGGTGTCCAACCTGATGGAAAACATCTCTCTAAAGGCATTCGATTGGGTGGTCTGGCACAGACTGGCCTGTCATCTGCCCTTCATTTTCCTGTCTCTGTAGAACAGGTGTCGGGAACCTATGGCTCGCAAGCCGTATGTGGCTTTTTTGACGGCTGCATCTGGCTTGCAGTCAAATCTTTAATTATTAAAAAAATGTTTCGTTAGACTCCTTTGCGCATGCGTGAACCGGCGACTCGAAAGCCGGTTCGCAGTAATTTTAGCGGGAAAGTGGCAAATATACATGTCGTTGTGTCTGTCTATTTATCCATTTATCAATCACATCAGCAACCAGATGAGGCAGAGAAACTGTTCAAGTGGGGTTGCCGTATTTTGCTGTCAAAAATAGCAGCATATGTGCGCATGCCCTTGAGATCAGGAAATAAACTTCTCTCGTTTTAAGCACGTTGTCATCTAATTTTAGAAACCCTTTCGAGAAGATGGTTAAAAGAAAAAAAGACAAGGAGTTTCGTACTTTTCAGCAGGAATGGACAGAGGAATTTGCAGGTTCTGAGGAGAGCAGGTTCTCATATGCGGCGATAAAATTGCATCTATGAAGGTCAAATATAAAGCGGCACTTCGACAACCGGCATACTACATTTGCATCAAAATATCCTGCTTGGGAGAGCAGGAGGAAAGCATGTCAAGAGCTGCTATCAAGGGTGCAACCTAGTCAGCAGCAACTCCATGTTTGGACCCAACAAGGTGACTGGAATTTGGCTAGCTTTGCTGCCACGTTAGCAATTGTGAGAAACAGAAAGACATTCACAGATGGGGAGTATGACAAAGCATTCATGCTTGATAAATGAACTTTTTGATGACTTTTTGGATAGAGACAAGAAAATTAAATGGCTAAAAGACGTGCCTCTTTTGGCAAGAACTGTTCAGGATTGTACCGTCATGATGTCAAAACAAATTGAGGCAAGGCAAGTGAAGGATATAAATGTGGCACAGATTTTTTTTTGTCTCGCCTTGGATGAGTCAACGGACGTAAGCAATTTATCCCAGTTCCGCGGGTTTGCAAGGTCTGTTGTCGGTGACACACTACATGAGGAAAGTCTTGCAATTTTGACTATGAAAGGGACAACAAGAAGGGAGGATTTATTCAAGTCCCTCATTGAGTTCGCTAAAGAAAAAAAAATCTACCGATGGAAAAACTTGTTTCGGTGTGCACTGATGGTGCTCCGTGCATGGTGGGGAAAAACAGAGGATTCGTGGCCCTTCTTCATGAACATGAAAAGAGACGCAGCCCAAGTTTTCACTGCATGCTACATCAGGAGGAGCTTTGTGCTCAGATGTGTGACCAGCAGCTTGGTGAAGTGATGTCACTGGTCGTTCGAGTGGTCAACTTTATTGTTGCCCGAGCTTCAAATGATCACCAGTTTAAAACACTACTAGATGAAGTTGGGAAAAATTATCCTGGTCTTCTTCTGCGCAGCAACGTGTGTTGGTTGTCAAGGGGGAAGGTGCTCAGCCGTTTTGCGGCTTGTCTGAGCGAAATCCGGGCTTTTCTTGGAATGAAAAATGTCGAGTATCCCAAGTTAGCTGACACTAAGTGGCTCCTGAAGTTCTACTGTCTCGTGGACATGACTGAACATCTAAACGAGCTCAATGTGAAAATGCAAGGCGTTGGAAATACAATCTTATCCCTGCAACAAGCAGTGTTTGCATTTGAGAACAAGCTACAACTCTTCATCGCCGACATTGAAACAGGTCACTTTGAAAAACTGGGAGAGTTTAAAGATGCATGTGTAACAAGGGCTACGTCTGTTTTATAATTGTTGGAGATGATAAAACACTCTGGAGCGGACAACAGGTTTCTCTTTGGACCAGTAAGGGGACACTAGATTCGATTCACAGGAGCCAATGATGTCAACATTGAGGGGGTAGCATAGGCAAAGAAACAAGACAACAAATTGTTGTAAAAACAAGTAATTTTTATATCAAACATAAATACATGACAACAAAACTATTGTCACAAAAACACAGTGAAAAAGTAAATAAATACAACTTAGTCTCAACCTTAGTTGACCTTTCCTTACAGCAAAATAATTGGTGATCACCTTTCTCAACACGGGTGTTTTTTTTTTCTTTCAATCTGAATTAAATAACTAAACACAAAATGTTCTCGTCAACTCTTGTCTTACAAATTAAATTCCTCTTAACATTACCAACACTAATCAGTCAAAAAAAAAACAGTTTGTCAAATGTAATATACCTGTATATTCTTTTGGTTTGCTCGCCACCACCACTGTACCCCTTTTCCAGCACTTTCGGAAGTCAGGGCACCTTAATGGAATCCACTCCACTGAAGGCACGCTAATCTCAGCGCTGTCCTCAATCAGAACTCCGCAAAAGACCCGGCCTAATAGGGCCGAGAGCACACGAGCGCCAACAATAAAGTAACTACAGTAATTAATATCAAGTACTTAATTCCATGTACTGTGAGACATTATTCACATTCATGTACACTCACCAGAAGAATGTTGAACGAGACTCCGACGACGTTACACGGTCGGCGAAATCCCGGTGGTACGGAAAGCTAACAACTACGTTAGCCAGGAACAGTGCTCGATGTCTAAGTAAGGCTAAAATACCCAGAGTCACCCCTGATCATTTTGGGCGATTTTAATAGAGCACATCTTAACCGTGAACTTCCCAGATATAAGCAGCACATCGACTGTTTCACCAGAGAAGGCAACATTCTAGACCACCGCTATACAACAATCAAAAATTCATACCGATCGATCGCCCGCGCAGCATTGGGTCTTTCTGACTTCAATGTAATACACTTAATACCTACATACAGACAGAAACTCATATGTGTTAAACCGGTTGTTAAGACTGTGAAAAAATGGACAGATGAAGCAAAGCTAGCTCTACAAGAATGCTTAGACTGCACTGATTGGGGCGTCTTTGAAACTTCAACGGGCACACTGGATGAATACACAGACACTGTAACATCATACATCAGTTTCTGTGAGGACATGTGTGTACCAACAAAGTCCTTCCACTCCTTCAACAATAACAAGCCATGGTTCACTCCCAAACTCAGGCAACTCAGGAAAGAGAAAGAGGCCGCATTTAGAAGTGGAGATCGGGCACTGTACAAACACGCCCGAAACCAATGGACAAAGGAAATTAACAGCGCTAAGAGAAGCTATGCAGAGAGGCTGAAAAACCAGTTCTCTGCTCACGACTCTGCATCTGTGTGGAATGGCCTGAAAGCAATCACAAACTATAGAATGCCATCCCCCCAAACAGTGAACAATAAGGGTCTTGCTGTTGAACTAAACATGTTTTTCTGCCGATTTGAAAAGGACACCCCCATTTCCCACATACACCCACCTCTACCAGAAACTACTCTATGGTA